AAAAAAAATATTTAAATCCACAGAAGATAATTTCTTGCAGAACACAGACTATTTAATGGACCAGTCGTGAAGTTCGAGATTTTCCAAATGGATGGATCTGTTCCCACTCTACTTTCAAGACCTTAAATTGGAAGTTGTATTGAAAGTTGATACTGAGAGATGGAAGGATATTGCTTTTAGGCGGAGAGTTATTTTTAATTTTTCTGAGGCAGTTTCTTTCTGGAAGAATCACACAGAAGCAAGGTGTGTCAGCTGCAGGATCTGTCAGCTGCACTCCGGTATAAACTGGGCAGTTTCCCAGGATCCTGCTCACCGGGCCTTGGGAACGAGTAATCAGACCCTCCACCTGCCAGCAAAGCTCTGTCAATGGCTTTGTCCCTTGTGTCTTGTTAGTTACTGGCCGACTTCTCCAGGGAGGTGTAACTCTCTGTCTTTCCTCTCTTGGATGGCAAATGATACCCTGGCTTTTCCTTCAGGGAATATTTTTGTTATCAGACTAAATATCAAGACCACCATTTGGCTCCTGACGTAATCCCAAAGATTCCACATTTATATTTCATGGGGCTCCGTCTCCTCCTCTTCGAGCTGCCCTTCATTGTCACCTTTTCATTCTCTTTTGACACCAGCGTATTCCACACTGGTCAGTGTCTTTGGGTTTTCTTCCATCCAACAATATCTCCCCCTTATTTCTTTCTGCTTGGAAAAACCCAAATCATGTTTACTTGTTGCCCTCCTTCATCCCAGTCTCTCACGCTCTTTCTTTAAAACTATCCATGATTCTTGGGGGCCCCATGTCTGCCGTGAAGAAGCTAGAAAGCCTCTGGGCCATATTTCAAAAGACACATCAGGAAATTCTGAACATGTTTTGAAACTCCTCCTAATTCTATGGGATTACAGAGGTTTATAAACTGCATTCCACATTTTTCCCTTGGCATTCTCAGACTTCTGAAATGTCAGAGGGACTAGATTTCTATTTATCCCGATATTAAACATGTATGAAAACTGAGGGGGGAGAATTAAGATGCTCAATCTGGTTTCCCTTATAAAATCTCCTAGGACTGCAGGACTATTAACATAGGTTTCCATTACTAGTTGGCAGTAGGATGCAAATATAATTGTAGCTTTTTATCTGTTTTTTAAAGTTTTGTGATGCAACAATAGGTCACATTTATCAGGCACTGAATTTCTGCCAGGCACAGCATTCAGCCCTTTCTGTGCCTTCGTTCATTTGACCTTCATACCACCTGAAAGGTGGGTACTGTTATTACCCACAGGTTGTAGATGAGAGAGCTGGGTCCTCTTTCAGGATTTGTGACTGTTTTTGTGGATGATAAACTCCTCCAAGAAAAATGAAATTCTGGAGTCAGTGGGTAAAATAATCAGTTATTATAAAAACCACTTGTTCGATCCTGGTCGGACCACTCTGTGCTGGTTCAAAGGCACCATCTTTAAGACAAGCATCTGTTAACTTTATTTGTGGTCTCAGCCAGACAATAGAGAAAGGCAGTGACTGCAGGAGATTTTTGTCATCTTTTGAAGCCAGTTGGTGACAAGGAGACGAGCAATTTAATGTCTTAAGGACTCCATGAAGACAGAGGCTTTCATAAAGGTTTTAGAATTGGTCCTCTGGTCCCATATTACATTCGCCAAACTCCTTCAGTAGGATTCGCTTCCTGTTACCATAATGTCCTACCTCCTATAGCATTCTGCACTATTTTATGCACCCACCTGTGACAAGAAACTCTGTCCTCTCAAAATAAAGTGAAATATTAAAGGTCATAGGGCATTCTTCAAATTTGAGTATTGTACACTCTTCTTATAGAGGAAGAACATTCTTGGTACCCCTGGTGTTGACTTAAGTTATTTTTCTTTAAATTTTACTTAATGTGCAAGAACATAAAATTAAACTCCTTTTCTTTATGGCCCTGTACAAATAAAAAACCAAAACTCATTTATAAGTTAAATATTACCAAGACTAAAAGAACCCCCCCAAAATTCAAATTAGCAACCTTAATTACACGCCGTGGCTACTGTTCTGTGAGAACTGAATTTCCGTACCCAGTCTGAGTGGAATTCTCACCACTGGGCACAGGCTCTTTGAGCTGGTCAGGCCCGTATTGGGATTGCTCAACTCTTCCACACTTTGCCACTCATCCAGTGGCTTTCAAACTTGAGTGTGTATCCGAAGCACCAGGAGGGCTTGTGAAAACACAGATTTTGGGGCAGCACCCCCAGAGTGTCTGATTCAGTAGGTCTGGGGTGTGGCCCGAGAATGTGCATTTCTTACAAGTTCTCAGGTGATGATGAAGCTGTTGGTCTGAGGACCACACTTTGGGAACCACTGCACTATTCAGAGCAGGAGACTTGCTTTTCCACAGACATAAGCACAGAAACGTCATTGACAAATTAAGCCCCCCTCTGCTCCTTTCTCATTAGCCTGTGACAATTAAAGTGATAAATTTTTGCATAGTTGTGTGTTGGTAAACACAAAGGCAAAGCAGGCACTGAAATTGAGTGTGTACAGGGAGGGTGTGCTTGGTTTTATGGTGGTCGTCCAATGTCCCTGGTTGGCTTTGTAAAATGTTTTAGTATAACATCAAAAGAAAATCCAAAGTGGAACCACTGAACCCCTGAGAACGTGTCCACGTACCTAGTTTCAGAAACACTAGCTGGGTGGGGTATTATATAACACTTACCTGTGGGAAAAAATGGTATTGTGTAAGTACCCGCCTCCTCTGCTTTAGGCAAATGTTAGAGCCAAGATTAAGGCAAACCGGGGTGAGCAGAGACAGAATCAACCGGTCTCGTCCCACAACCAATGGGTAGAAGTTGTAGACTTCAGCGTAGTATTGGGAAGGCCCTCCTCATGCATAGAGTTGCTCTGAGTGGAATGAGCTGTCTTAGGGAGGCTGGAAACAGCTTGCCTCTGAAGCTCTTCAGGAGTCCCCAACAACAACTTGGTGGATGTTCCAGGGGTTTCCATTCATAAAAGCCATGTGTCCAAGACCCCTTTGAAGGTACATATTCTACAGTTTGGGGGCCCTCTTATCAATCTCCAAGAATCCTCCAAATCATCAATCTCCAAGAATCCTCCAAATCGAGGATGTTTAGCTCTACCGTATCCAAAAGGCAGCATTGCATCGTAGGTGTTCAACCATGTTACCACCCTAACACTCCTCCTCTCTGCCCCTAAACTGGCTCCCCCCCAACCCCCGCTTCCTCAGTTCTGTCACTGTTACCACCGGTCGTCCAGCTTTCCAGGTTTGACACTTGGCACATCCCCTTCGGATGTCTTTATAGCTTATCTGCCTTTCTCTTTCCATCACACCATCACTCTCTCTCTGACTGCAGTAGCAACATGCGGATTTACTGCCACAGTCTCCTGCACCCCATTCTGAGCCCCTTTAATCCACTTAATACCAGATGACTCCTCCCCCAAAGGATCTGGCCCTAGAACTTTTATTTGTGCAACATCTCTTCTTATCCTGGGGACCGTGTTCCACTAACCACACAGAGGGAAATGCTGCTCTAAATGGCCCTGCATGTGCCTGGTTCATTCTTGTCTCCATTTCTTGGTCTACGCAGTTTATCTTCCCCATGCTCACATCCGGCCACAGACGTATAAGCTCACACACATAACTCACCCCGAGAGGCCTCCCGGCCTCAAGTACTGATTACAGTCCTCTTTCTCCCTTAATTGAACTCCTCTGTGGTCAAAAGCAGCACAGTTCAGCACTTTCGTATCCCCTCTGTACTCATCACCACTTGAAAGATTGTACTTATTTATTTGTTTACGTGGTGATTGTCTGTCTCCCCTCCCCCCAAATCCAAGATGGCGGATCCCCGTCTGGTTCACCCCTACCCAGCACCTCCACCAGTGCCTGGGGCAGAGAGCCAGCCAGCAAGTATTTGTGGAATGAATGTTTATATCTGTCTCCCTCACTCAACTGTGAGTTACAGAGCGGGAACCGGGTCTTAGCATAAGTCTGCAATTTGAGAATGATTTCTAGCTGGAGCCCATGGGCTCCATACCTGTCTTGATCTGGAGAGCTGTAATTCACAGGCGCCTTAGTAGAACTGGGCCCCAAGGGTCTTAATTTCAATCAGTCTCGTTGGATTTGTTTTGACTGGAAATCCTATTGCCTGTTTTTAAAACATATTCCCTTGGGCGCTTTTGAGTGCTTGAGACTTCTCGGCAGGCAGGCATTTCAACCCCATCAGGAAATCTCATCAAAATGATATTGGGTTTGTACATCAGGAAAATATACCCTCCAAGAAGATGTTGCTGTTATCTGGTTTGGCTTTGGATATAAGCAGTTAAGCTCATTCAGAAGATATTTCCACCACATCTGAGATATTGGGCCAGGGCTGGGTGGCAGAATCTCACAATAAACAATAATGTGAAAAATAAGAGTGGTAAGGAGACCCCCCCTCCCCTCCAAGGAATTTGTCTAGTTAGAGGCCAAACAGAATTCAATGGAAGAGCCAGACACCAGTTTTGGGTATGAGACTTTCGTTTCCAAGGGCTGAGCAGTAACCAGGCATGCTGGCTAGGCTGTGACTTGCCCTCCCATGCAGAATCTTGTCTATATTTTTTGGTCTGGCCTCCTCTAGGCTCCACTGTGGAAACCATACTTGGAAAACCACATAATGGCAAGCCTACTTTTATTCGAGATTCCTAACACCCCCCAGGTATTTTTCACATGATTTGGTCTGGACTTCCTTCCAGAAGGAAGGGACATGTTTTCCCCTCCTTAGGGGGTAGCTCTTGAAGCTCTTTAAACTCCTCTTATCTCCAAATCTTCACAAGTGTGTTTTCACCCACCCCTTTCACTCCTGCTCTTCAGCCTGGTGCTGAGGGTTCTAGAAAGATGACTGTGAAGAAGGCCTCTTGAGGTTGGCATGAAGGTGACAGGACTGAAGCTTCGCCAAGCCCGTGCCCTCTTTGTCTTGCCCTCCCGGGGGGCCTTATTCTCATGCTTTGGTGTCTCTCTTTTCAGAGGTGTGAACATGTACGCCATGTTGACTGGGACCCTGCCTTTCACGGTGGAGCCTTTTAGCCTGAGGGCTTTGTACCAGAAGATGGTGGACAAGGAAATGAACCCGCTCCCTACCCAGCTCTCCACAGGTAATGCTCCTGCTGCTCTGGATTCAGGATTTCAGGACTTATACCCCAGCCAGCTTGGGTCCATCTGTGAGGCAGTATTCGTTTTGTAGCAGTAGTATTAGGACTACCCCATGATTATAGGTCTCTCCCTAGTATTAAAACGAAGTCTCAAGAGGTGGTTGGGTTTCCCATTTCTAAGCAGCCACTCCCTTCATCTCACCTCAATGCTTTCCTTTTCTGCTATAATTCAGAACCCCTAACTTCCTCCTTCTGCACAAAACACACATATCAAAAGGATCTTATAGTCTCCATTGGAAAAATAATTGCAGGCTTGATTATTTAAAAACTCACCATAGTATAATGTTGACTTTGAAAAGAACATTTCTAATCACATTTCTATTGTGTCTTCCTTAGTCAATTCACTCTTAAGAAATATTAGTTTCATTCAAGTTTGGTCTGTGATTTGTTTTGCTATTTGAGTTTTGAGCCTGTTCAAAAGCTTTTAAGTAGATATCGGTTCAGTTACTCGGTTAGACTGAATTGGCAGGTGTGTTTGGAAAGTACTCTCACACTTCAGCTGGTTCACATTTCAGTAAACAGTTCGTATTCAGGTTTGGTTTCAGATCCAGTAAATTAGTACAATTTGTTCTTTTGTTGGATTCACCATTCACTTCAAGTTCCTGGCCTCAGGTTGGCCATTTAATTGGCTCCTTAGAGTAAACTCAGCTTCAATGAGATAAGGCATGTGACCAAAAAAAAAGTAATTATTTAATTTCAACTTATGATACATGATTAAAATATAGCATTTTTATTTTACTACCGTTATGTATTTTTCTCTGGAGTTTATAAAGCATCCATGAAGCTGACCCTGACTTTATGCTTGCCAAATGGACTCCAAGCTGAAATGCATTCTCGAATGTAATTGCCTAATTCAGTCCTTACTTTCACCTTTGCTAAGGAGGGTGGAATCCTTGTAGGTTGAAAGCACAGGCGGCATTAGGTACTTGGGAAGATAAGTTACAGTGCTGTCATTATAAAAGAAATATTTCTGCACTGAAAGCCGTAACTTTTGGAGTTAGAAAATGTGCAACATGTTGAACAAGTTTTTATATTTAGGTTTTAAGAGCGTTCAGAAATTTTGAAAGTGCTGCAGAGCACTATGAGGAGTGCTCATTCATTCATTCCATATTTCATATTTATTCACTTATTCCATGAATATGTATTGTGTGCCAGCTACATGCTAGGAAGGTTCTAGGCACCAGGAAAACAGAAGACAAAACAGACACAGTCCTACCCGTATAGACCTTACATATCAGCAGGGGAGGCAAAAAATAAACAGATAAATCAACATGTGTGAGGTTTGGTAGTGTTAGTGCTCTAAAGAAAGGAAAATAAATTAGGATAAGGGGATAGAGAGTAAAGATTTTTTTTTTAACCAATAACATTTTCAAAAACTTTTTTATTGTGGAGTAATTGTAGATTCACATGCAGTTATAAGAAACCATACAGAGAGATCTGTCTATCATTCATCCAGTTTCCCCCATTGGTCATATCTTGCATAACTGTAGTATAATATCACCACCAGGAAATTGACATTGATAAAATCCATTGACCTTATTCAGATTTGCATGCACTTGTGTGTGTTTTTAGTTTTATGCAATGTTATCACAGGTGTAGATTCATGTGACAACTACCACAGTCAAGGTCCAGAACAGCTCCATGACAGGATCCCTCCCACTATCCTTCTATAGCCAAAGCTGCCTCCCTGCCTCCCACCTCCCTAACCGCTGGCAACCATAACCTGTCCTCCACCTCTATAATTTTGTCATTTCAAAAATGACAAGTGACCAAAAAAAA